AAAATTCCGAAAAATTCTATCGCGCTTCCGGAATCGTCTCAGTGCAAATAAATACCATTGTTTCCTAGAATATTAATTTGTGTTTAAATTCATTTAAAATTTTGCGATGGAAATATCCCAAAATTTTTTTTAAAATTAAGAAAATTTTAATTATAAAAATGGCGAAAAGTGGAAATTTTACATGTTATTTCATCATTTATCATTTGTATAAATGATTACAATTTCATTAAAAATTTTTTAAATTCGTAATATTTACAAATTAAAGTATTCAAACATCTTCCCTATGATAATATTTTACCTTTCACTTATGATTTTCAAAAAAAATTTTTTTTTGTAAATTTTTTGCAAAATTTTTGAAATTCCAAATTTTTTCAATTTCTCGATCAACTTGATTGACTACGAGCGACGTTATTGTTGGATTGTTTTGAGATGCAAAAAATTTTAATAATGGCAAATAAATAGCCAAATTTTATTCGAAAATACTCCATCGCTTGTCATTTTTATCACTATTGTCATCATCGCAGCCATTATTATCATTTGGAATTCGAGAATTCAATAATTCTTCTAAATCATCTGAATTAACTGCGCCAATGCATCAAATGTTTGAAATATGTTTTATGATTATTTTGTTGCCGAATGAAATTTGACTTCGAAAAAACAGCACTGATACTAACTGATACTAACAGCAGTGTGTTTTGAATTGAATTCAAAAATTTATGAAAAAATAAATGAGAAAAATATTTACAAATTTTTGAAATTCCAAATTTTTTCAATTTCTCGATCAACTTGATTGACTACGAGCGACGTTATTGTTGGATTGTTTTGAGATGCAAAAAATTTTAATAATGGCAAATAAATAGCCAAATTTTATTCGAAAATACTCCATCGCTTGTCATTTTTATCACTATTGTCATCATCGCAGCCATTATTATCATTTGGAATTCGAGAATTCAATAATTCTTCTAAATCATCTGAATTAACTGCGCCAATGCATCAAATGTTTGAAATATGTTTTATGATTATTTTGTTGCCGAATGAAATTTGACTTCGAAAAAACAGCACTGATACTAACTGATACTAACAGCAGTGTGTTTTGAATTGAATTCAAAAATTTATGAAAAAATAAATGAGAAAAATATTTACGAATGAAAGTCGATTAGAATGCAAAAGATAAAATCCCAACTTGCGCTGATTCTTTGTGTTTTTCAAGGGACCAACATAGGAATAGGCACTTATTAAACTGAGCGATAGATGGCATCGATGCTATAAATCCAGGAAAATTTCAGAATCAGCGACATAAGGTAGAAAACGAAAAGTTTGTAATAAATCATAATAAACCGAATCGAGGATTTCCGATAAGTTCGACCTTGCATCTTATTAGTGAAGATACGTAAGATTTCAGGAAAGATTTTTACAGAGTATCGGAGGAGTATCGATCTGTGAACTTAGACGATGGAAAAAAGAATGGAATAGAAAAAGAATATTTATTTGATGATAATGTCTATAATTGCAATTTATTATATTATTTATAATTTATTTATTTAACTAATATATTGATTTAATAATTTTGATATATTATTTATTATTGTTGCACAAAATTATTATTTTCTTGCTACAAAAAATTACAAATTCCTGAAAAATACTATTGAATTTCATTCAACCATTCATTGTTAATCATATAAATTAATTAATCATTATTTATTTTTTTTAAATTAAATAAAAAGATTTTGATAATTTTGCTGGAATATTTTTTTGCAGAAAAAAAATTTGCGAAAATAAACAAAAAATCTTAGTAAAATAATATGAAACTTCGTTTTGCTGTTTTACCTTATGGCGAAAACAAAACGTAAACTTCTCTAAATATGCCTTCAAGAAGCGAAAATATGCGATACTTCAAGTTCTCAATTAATTCTTTGTAAATGAATGAAAACATTCTGGTTAAAAAGTAAATGATTTTTCTTGTGCTAATACTTTTACAAATGCTGGAGGTTGTGGAACTGCTGGAACTGCTCCAGGTGCGACTGGTGGTGCTGGCACTGCTCTGTTACATACATTAATATCCTTATCATTATCTGCTTTTGCAGAAGAGATGAAAAATAAATAAGGCAAATAAATGAAATACATCTTCGGCTGTTGTTGCCAGTTAACCCAATTAATCAGCTTTAGCTTTTTTTTTAACCTTTTTATACTCTTTTTTTATACTCTTTTATTTACTTTGGTATGAAATTTTTATTCATCAAATTTATCAAATTGTGTGAACAAACTAATTTTTGAATTTTTCGTTAACTTTTTGGAACACAAATTTCTTATTTTTTAATTATAACATTCCATAAATTCGGTTAAAAACAGGAAATTGCAAAAAAATTTGCGAAAATAAACAGAAAATCATCGCAAATTAATATGAAACATCGTTTTGCCGTGAACTATGGCGAAAGAAAATAATCAACCTAAATATCCCTAAATACGCCTTCAAGGATCGGAAATTTGCGAAGTTTCAAGTTATCAATTAATTATTTGTGAACAATTGAAAATATTGTGGTTAAAACGTATACGAATTTTCTTGTGCTAATACTTTTAACGAACCTTAAGGCGATAGTTGTATAAATGAACGACTTTCTTTGTCATTGTTGATTTCACTTTCTTATTTCTTCTTCTTTTTCTTAAGATTTTAATTTTTAATTTATTTTTATTATTAACAATAGAAATTTGCACAGATTAATTGAGGTTAATTGGCGAGTTTCTGCATGTTTTATTCGAAAATTATAAATTGCAGGAAAATAATATTCGTTTTTGATCAATTATCTAATTTTTTTCGACTATCTAAGTTTTTTTTTCTTTTTAAAATGAGTTGAAAGAATAAAATGGAAAAATTAATGATTACAATTAAAATTAGTCATTTGTTATATTTAACAAAATTAGAAATAATAAAAAATGAATATTTTACTTATTATTAACTGATGTAATGGAGGAATTTAATGAATTCGAATTCGATGATATCTATATTAAACGATTTGTTCTCACATTAGCGATAGAAACGCAGGTGTCGCCAGCATAGCCAGGATCTTTGGACAGGTTTATTCTTACAGGGAATCGAACCTCAGCATCGGCGCTCTTAATTGAGCAACAACCCACTGACCTATTTTATCTCCTATTAGCTGTATACAGATGTGTTTATTTACATAGTATTTTTTCATTTATACAGTAACCACGAGTGAAGATTAACGTTGGTTCTTATTATAAAATTGTTGAAGAAGGTTAAGAGAGATTTGGGCTTATGGAGTGTCACTACATATCCTGGAGAATTTTCAAAGAGTTATGATTCCCAATTATGATGGGTTCCCAAAGAGTCTAAAATAGTAAACATACGTTTAGGATAATCACATAGTAGTCGCATAGATTATCAGTTATTTCTAAAATCTAAAATATAAGTTAGAAAATTTGAAAATGATTATTATTAAGAAATAAATTTCTTAATGTCAAACCTAAGCAACTTTGGATAAATCAATTCAGCGACAATTCAGAGACGATAATTCAGCGAATTGTCTTCCAAATGCGCGTATCAGTTTTTTTTTAACAATAATAAACAAATTCTACTAAAATTTATAAAAATTTCATGAAACTTATGATTCATCTGAAAATGAATTGAGATGGAATTTGATCCAAAAGATGGAACAACGATAATGGTTTTAGCAGTTGTTCATCGATAGCCGTGCGAAATCCCTAAATTTTCAGCCATATTTTATTGCAAAGTTAATAAAAGAAAAAGTTTTTTTTAAGAGAGTGGCTTATAGGCGATCTATTTATTCTGCGGTTATGAAGATAATGCTCATTTATTTCTATGCTTTTATTAAATTTCTGACTAATTTTATACAAATATTTAAACTGAAGCGAAACCTAAGCTAAGTAGGCTAAACTTGTAAATATGCTAAGTTTTTTGCCAGTTAAATTTGGTTCCATCCCGAAATTTTACATGTTGTATGTTCCAATAATTGGCAAAAAATTCTGGAATAATTCTAAAAAATTTTATCGTCAAATTTTCGATTTCAACGATTCATAAAATTTTATTTTCATACCAATTTTAAAGAACTTTAAGAATTTGAAAACATTAAAGAAACTTCGATTTTGTGAAAATTTCTACGAAATTTACTCAACTTTGAAATTTATGCTGAAAAATTTGCGAAATTTTATGCAATTGCGAGATTTAAATAATTTTATTTTGGATTTCAACTAATGTCAATGGAGAGTTTTTCAACAATAATAGAAACAATTTTTTACAGATTTTATTTTATATAAGTGACGTCTCCTAAGAAACAAATATTTTTATATTGGCAAATATGGCCTCTGATAATTCTTAATTGATAATTCATATCGCTGATAAATTATATCAGATATAATTCTCACTAGTATTAGTCAATTATTTATTATTTTTATTTTATTTATTTTTTATTATTATCTTTATCATTATTTATTATGATTTATTATTTATTATCATCTTTTTTATTGTTTTTTTATTATTTCAATAATATTATCGAATAGCGTTTTTTCTCATCAAAAAAATAATCCGATCAATCCGATTTACAATATTCAATTAAATTGGAATCAATTTTTACAGAAAAGGATAATTAGAATTTTGGGTTTACTTCCGTCATTTTCTCGCGAAAGAACTTTATATTTTTGGCATAGAAATTTAACCTAATCAAAATATAATAATTGAGGGCCGTGAAAAAAAACCGTATGGCTGCAACCGCAAATATTCGAAGAGAACTGTGAAGTCTGAAGCTGCGACCGGTTGTAAGAGTATTCATTTTCAGATAAAACATATTTTAAATTTAAATTTTGGTATTGGGCTTGATTTCAGGTTGTGAGGTGGTCCGGGCTAGTTTTTTAGGTTCACGGATTCCGTAGGAACTACCGGTCGTAATCTTCGTTCGCCAGGTAGCAACATCAGTACAGCTCAAAGCCTGGATATCGCGATTCGATTAATTTAATCATTTTGCGATATGCGATGTGTGCAGCATAGTGAACAAGGCGTTGTGTCAGTCGCCCTAATACAAGCAAATTCGCAGTTTTTATTACGTACGCGAAATATGCATCGTTGGATTTAAAATACACTATTTTTGGGCGTTTTGTCTTATTTTATTTATTTATTCCAACATTTTAGTATCATTTTTACTAATATGCAGTTGGAGATCGCTTTATAATCGTCCATCTCCTTTTAACTGTTTGCCTTGTAATTTCCGATCTTTTTGTTTTGAGCATTCATCGGTTAATTCGACGATTCTCAACAATTTCTGCGAACTCACCAAAATTTCAAGATCCAGAAAGTTAGTGCAAAAACTTGTGAACAGTCGAAAAAAGATGAAATTGATGCAGTACGAAAGAAAGTGGCTGAATTAAATGAATATTTTAGTCAGTACATCGATGAGTATTACGAAGAAGTTTTACCATTAGAACAACCAGGAGTGGCCAAAGTGAAAGGTTGTTTTTATATTCTTTATTAAATTAATGTTGGAAAAAAAATCTTATTTTTACATTTTTCCAGTATTAATTTGATTATTTTTAGAATTATCTTTACTGATTATAATATTTATAATACAATAATATATATGCATTATAATTATAATAATATTGCGATGTATTTTTCTAAGATATATAAGAACAATGATCTTTTAACCTCATATTTTTGAATTCAACTGCAATATTTCTGGCAATTATTTAGAGAATTTTTTAGAGAATTTTTTTTTTTTTAGCGAAGAATAAAGTAAAGAGTAAAATTTCAGTTGTTTGATGAATGAATCAGAAATGTGTAAGAAGCTTTAGAATGCTGAAGATTTAGCTTGTCTAGCAGTGCCATTATGGTGATACACGTTTCTATATGATAATTTGCTCATATTTGCTCACAATAATCGGCATGACATTGCAATTGTTGAAAATCTTTGTGAATGTGTTAAAACGCGATTAAATTCGGTTTTTTTGTTTTTAGTTCATTTATGGACGAAATTGATATTTTATTTGTTATTTGGCCAAAAAAAATAAAATCAAAAATTATTAATTATTGTTTGTAATAATTAATAAATAATAATTAATAAAAAATTTTTCTTCATTCTTTTAAAGTTCTTTTTGTTTTAATTTTGGTTTCTGTCTTTTTAACAAATGCCTGCATTTATGAAAAAGACGGATGGCAGTTCGTCAATATAGGAAATATTTTCATACATATCATAACACCAAAATTGTACACTAAATATGAATCTTTGTGGAGTGGATATGACGATGAAATTCCTGATGATCCTGATTTTATGCTTCCAAAGTCAACTGATCTGATTCTTTATTAAATTAATATTGGAAATATATAACTTCTAGTGTTAAATTTTCAAAAAAAATTTCAAAAATTATCAAAAAAATTTTTAGAGCAAAAGGCATTTGCATATTTCCAATAAATGCCCCGAAATATTGTGAATAACCTTAAAATGTACAAATTTCACTAGAAAGAAAATTAATGAAAACGATTTTCGTTAATTTTTAATCTTTATTAAGCACAAAATTATAGTGCTATTACTATTGCTACGATATAAAATTTGGCCATTGGCCATGGCCAATTTCCGCAAAAATAAAATTCCGTAATATGTTCTTCAAGCATAAAATATAGCCGAAGATAAAAAAAAAAGAAGAACAACAAGCTTTAAAGTGAATAAATTTCAAATAAAACGCACGCATGATAACTCTCCCTGAGGCATAGACGCCGATGTTTAGAGATGTCGGGCAAAGATCTACACTCTGCCCGCTGCTAGCTCGCAAACGATCACTCCTGTTCATTCGAGATATGGGAATGATGAGGGAAGGTGGAGGGTGAGAGAAAGGAAGGGTTAAGGGTGAGGAAAATGGTAGGAAATAGGGGGCTTGGAGGTTTTGGGCAGGGACGTTAACGCCGTGGCCGTCCTCGCCGTCATCGTTTTCGTCGTTCTCGCCGTTGTCGTCGTCGCCATTATCGTAGTCGTTATCGTCGCCGTCGTCATCGTCGTCGTCGTTGTTGTTTTTCTCGTCGTGATCTTTTATCTTCCTTTTATTTTTGCTTATTTTATTTTTGTTTTTGCTTCTTTTATTTATTTTTATTTTTGCTTTTATTTATTTTTGCTTCTTTTGCAAATTTTTATTATTGCTTCTTATTTATTATATTTATTTTTGTTTTATTATTTTATTTTATTTTTGCTTCTTTTGCAAATTTTTATCATCTTTTTAAATTCGCCCGAGAATCACCCATGAAATGTCAATGGACTTTGCCACTTGCGGCCAAATGAATTGGACCAAAAAAGGAATATAGGTGGGTAATAATAATAATCTACATTAAGCAAAAGAAATTTCTTTTTACTTTTTCGAGTCAGTTGGCTTATTTCTTCAGGTTCTCATTATGTGTCTTGAAATTATTGGCAAGAGAATATTTTTTATAGGAAATCTTAGTAGAAGTTTGTAACGCTTGAAATGTCTATATGATAATTGTAACGCTTGAAATGTCTATATGATAATTTGACAATCAAGGGAACGCTGTGTAAAAGAAAAGCTGGAGTGCATTCGAAGCTTATTCAACCTGGATGATTCCAGTATTTTATGGTAATAACTTTTTTTTAAAATGGAATTTTTATGCTCATTCGACTCTTATTAAGCAAATCTTAAATAACCGCAGAGAGATACACGAATGTATACAAATAGGAATCGCATTGGATCATTCAAAAATGGAAATTATATTAGATTCTCTAAAGTGCTGAAGAAAAATGCTACTTATTCATAGGTTCAAAATTTTTACATTCATTATAGGTGATATTCTCTTGAAAAAATTTAAAAAATATTCTAGTACATTTGGCATTTTTCATTTTTCGTATGTTTATTTCATTAATAATCATTTCAGGGTTAAAAATTTTAATGTTGCTCAAGTCAATGATATTTCAGTGATGTTCGGAACCATGCGCTTTTGTGATAACTCACTCTTCCCATAAAATGGTAGAGTATGTTTTCATTATTTCATTATATTATATATTATACTTCATAATATTAGGTGTTTCGCAGTGGCTTTAGATTTGGTGTTAATTTTTAATTTTCATGCATTTTTTGTAATAAAAATTGGATTACTAAAAAACCGAATTATTCCAGGTACGAAAATAGCTGGATGCAATACGTAACCGGCTTAACGCATGTGGATTGAAGGCACTTTTCCTCATCGATGTTCTTCTAGTTATCGTCATTGTTGTTGCTGTCGTTGTTCTCATCGTCGTCCTCGTTGCTGTAGTTCTCGTCATCGTCATTGTTCTTCTCGTCGTCGCTTTAGGACTGCTGGATGAATTTATCGTCGCTTTAACCAAAATGGCCTTAAAATATTGCGGAACGTGCTTGTGGAGCGCCAGAAAGTCGTGGACGATCAGATATTTTGCGCATTGAAGAATCTCGACCTGAAGCAATTCGTAATGGTTTCCATTTTCCGAATGCCAAGCATGTAAGTTTTCTGTCTGCCAATATATTTTAATTTTTAATTGTAATTGCAATTGGAATTATAATTGTTGTTTTATAATTGTTTTATAATTATAATTGTTGTATAACTCTTATAACTCTCTCATGCTAATTTATTTGTAGTAGATAAAGCCGATAAAATTGGCGACGAACCGCTTCAATTAAAGAAGAATGTCAGATCAAAAGCATGCACATTCCTATTAAAAGTGGTAAGTCCAAAGAATATTAACCAGATCGTAACGAATTTAGTTATTGGAGATTTTTGCAAGTTTCAGCTCTTGTGAAATCTCTTCTAATATAAAAAATCGGATTTTTTTGACATCTTCTAATGAGTTTGGAAAGTACAATTACTTTTTATTTATTTATTTATTGATAACCAGCCAAGCAGGGCGACAACGCCATGTGCTTGTATTAATAATAACAGTTAAGATAACAGAAAAAGAAAACACAAAAAAAAATAACATAAACAAAATTAATTATAAAACAATGTGACAAAAATTAACAATTTAAAGAGGAAATTACAGGTCAATTTAATATAGTACAGTTCGAAATAACATGTATAACCTGAAGATAAAATCGAGATTTCTCACTTCCTTTAAATGGAAAATGATGCGGTAAATGTGGCCCAATTTGGTGTAATGATATATGATACGTGAAGAAGTCTTGTATGGCTTTTTTCCCATCTTTTAAGTGAATATTATACAAAGAAATTTATGCATCCTGTGAGAATAAAAAAATATACAAGGCTTCTGATACTTAGATTTCTGTTGATGTTTAAACTTTTTGTTTGGTAGAACCTTTTCTTTATTTGTTGGTTATTATTTATGACAGTCCCTCTATGATCCCTGGTTAATATTCCCAAGTGGCTATCCTTTCTTTTACGAAGCCTATTCCTTAAACTCCCCTTAACAAGGAGAATCGAGCGGCTCTCCTAACGCTTACAAATTTTGCATTAATTGTTACGCCAGGTGAATATAGAGTAAATATGTTAATATGTTCATTTGGCTGGTGAATTTTTATTATTTTTCGAAAAAAATTGAAATATATTTAACTATATAAGTGTTTTTATGTACTATAAATATACTTATTTTTATGATGTTAGTTACTTCACAAACTTTGTAAGAATATTTGAGAGAAAATAGTCCTCGAAGACTTCCCGGGCAACACTCCCAAGGGGCCATCCCTTCTTTGATGAAGCCTATTCTTCAACGACTCCCTGGGTTAGGTCAGTTGGTTGGCCCTCATTTAAAGCATGCCAAATGAACATAGGATAAATATGTTCATTTGGCTATTGAATTTTTATTATTTTTTGTATAAAATTGAAATATATGTAACTTTTATGATGTTAATTAATTCTCAAACATTGTAAAAATATTTGAAAGAAAATAGTCCTCGAAGACTTCCCGGGCAACACTCCCATGGGGCCATCCCTTCTTTGATGAAGCCTATTCTTCAACGACTCCCTGGGTTAGGTCAGTTGGTTGACCCTCATTTAAAGCATGCCAAATGAACATAGGATAAATATGTTCATTTGGCTATTGAATTTTTATTATTTTTTGTATAAAATTGAAATATATGTAACTTTTATGATGTTAATTCTCAAACATTGTAAAAATATTTGAAAGAAAATAGTCCTCGAAGACTTCCCGGGCAACACTCCCATGGGACCATCCCTTCTTCGATGAAGCCTATTCTTCAACGACTCCCTGGGTTAGGTCAGTTGGTTGACCCTCATTTAAAGCATGCCAAATGAACATAGGATAAATATGTTCATTTGGCTATTGAATTTTTATTATTTTTTGTATAAAATTGAAATATATGTAACTTTTCCGATGTAACTTTTATATATGTAACTTTTAATTCGCAAAGTTTGTAAGCATATTTGAAAGAAAGTATTCCTTAAAAACGTCCCGGACAACACTCCCATCCCTTATTTGATGAAGCTTATTCTTCGAATGAACAAAGGATAAATATGATAACTATGCTCATTTGGATGATGTTGAATTTACATGACTTTTTGTGAAAATTAAGACATATATAATTTGTACGGCTTTTGTTCTGTTAGTACTTTTCTTGAATAAATATTGCCAAGTAAACTGGAAGCAGCTAAACAGAGTTCTCAGAATGGAAATTATTGTAAAAATAAAAATTGAAATAGAGATGAAACATTTCTTTAAAGTATCAATGAAAATTCGTATCTTCAAAATAAGAATAATTCTTAGTGCACTCTACCTAATTTCTCATATATGTGTCCCTTATGAAGGCTCTGATGCAGTAATTTGCAAAAATTAGCGGTTCTTGTCCTTAATCAGTGCAATTGTACATTTTAATTTTATTAACCGTTAATATCCCAGAACTCTGGTAAAGGAGCCAAGATGATCACTAGCACTCACGACGAGTGAGAAAAGTTTTTTTATTTTTATATTAACATTAATACGATTTAAAAATGCTTCTTAAAAATTCTTGCTTTATCAGATTTTTCCTAAAAATTCATCAAAATGGAACTATTATCAGTTTATCTTCTTCTATGAACGCTATCTTGCGATTCTAACTTTGATGAAATGCAGAAGAATTAAATTCTAGATGTTTAAAATTTTAACACTTTAAGAATAACATCATACTGTTCAGATCTTTTTCTAAATAACCAAATCGAATTTTAACCGAGTTTTTTAATAACACTTTTTTTGTTTTTCGAACTTAGAACACTGAGCACTTTGGATGGCAAATTTAGTAAGACGCTTTTTCATTTCGACACTCTAACGACACATTGAAATTTTCAATAGTTTTATATCTATGATTTCGCCCATTACTTTATTATAATCATTCAGACCAATAA